ACCTCTCGACACCTCACCTCTCATAGACCAGCGTGCAGCGCCCTGGTGTATTTTCTTCTCAAGAAGAGGCTGCGAGTCGGCGTCTATCGCGCGCGATAAGGTTTTTTTTTGCTTGCTTGCCTTCCCTGGCCACCCTGGGACCCCGTGTTTCGGCCCGGAGGGCCGGGTGCGCAGGTAGAGCGGTAGGGCTGGCGTGTGGGGCCTCAGGTAAAGGTAAACCTGTCTCAGACCGCCGGAGGTAGAGGTAAACGGAGCCCACGTGAGGGGAGGTAAACGTACGACCGTGGGCCCGCGAGGGCTCGAGGTGGGACGACGCAAGGCCCCGCGAGAGCGCTTCGCCTGCGGCGCGCCTGCCCGGCCATGGACCAGGCTTCACCGCCGCTTGCTGACGGCTGATCGCATCGCCTACCGCATCGCGAATGACCAGTGCCGCGACCACTTGGACCTTGCACTGCCTGCCTGCTGACCCGGTGCAAAGAATCTGCGTCTCAGCTCTTCGGCGCATTGATTGTGCATGATTGCTCAAGTGGCTCGAATTGGCAATCCACCGCAATGCGAACATGAATGGAGAGCATATGCAACACGGACGCAGGCTTGCCGTTGGCGACGTCGGTTATCAGAGGGGTCCCAGGTCATATAGTGACACGCTCGATGGGATGCTGCATTGACGCAGACAGCAAAAGCATCGCAGCGGAGACCTTCTCATGAGTGGCGGCTCGCACCATGCGGCAGTGCGGACACCAGGTGCGCGAATTTAAGAGCCATTTTCGATTCCGTGGTTTTGGCACTGACAAATCGACCTGTCTGGGCACAGCTGAGCCCGGCGCTGCCTCCATTCTGAAAGTGTAGAAGGGAAGGCAGCATGTCAGGCTGCGAACTCTGCTGTGCGCCGAAAAGCGGTATGGCGCCGAGGAGGCCATTTTCCTATTTGCTATTAGAAAAGGCTGTCGACATCCAAAATTTTCCTCGCTGCGCGCCCAATCATGGTGCCATGGTGGGCACGCAGCGCGCGGGGCGCCTGTGGCGCCCATTTTTTGAAATGTCTGCCACTAACCTAAGTGGCTCTCAGAAACACTCGTGCCCTCGTGCGGCTGCGCATCTTATTTTCTTCTCGGCGAGTGAAAATCGCAGATTATGTTGTATCGAGATCGCAATATCTCGAGATCACTCGAGAGATCACTGTTCACTCGCCTCTCGCGCGAGAGAGATCCTCGAGGCGAGATCACGCACAGGTAAATCACGGCTACGTTGCTCAGAGGTAGAGGTAAAGGGCCCACGGCTGCCCAGAGGTAAAGGTAAGAGGGCCGCAGGCCCTCAGAGGTAGAGGTAACCTAAACCCCTCCTACCCGGCCCTCCGGGCCGACCGTGTTGCATGTCTGACTGTCACTGTGCGATTTCGGGGCCCGGGGTTGTGCGAGGTAGTGAAAGACCTTCCCTGGGTCTGTCTCTCACACCCTCACTGTCGTCGCAAGCGAGGTTCTTGTTTCTTATCACCCTACTGTGAATCATCTTGAGCAGGCGCACATCGCTTCCAGGGAGGGGGGCGCCCTTCTCTCCACACCACATGCTAGGGGGGGGGGGTCCGACCCCCCCCAGCAGCAGCACCTTCACCACATGCTAGGGGGGGGGGCCGACCCCCCCCCAGCACCCTCACCACACGCAAAGCCTAGGGGGGGGGGGGTCCCGATCCCCCTAGAGGCTTCACCACATGCTAAAAGGGGGGGGGGGGGGGTCATGGCGGTGTGCGCCTGCTCCTTCAACTTCGCCAAAGAGGTCGGCAGCCCGAGCGCCGTCGACCGCACCGACTACGGCACAGCCTCCAGCAGCGTGCGCCCGGGGCTTCGCCCAGCACCACTCGCAACAGCTCTCGCGCGCCGCCGTCTGTGGCGACGCGCAAAACATCAACAACCCTGCTCGCAACATGCGAGAGAGAGATTGTATGTTTGTCAACATGCGTGCGCGCGCACTCATTCTCTCTCTCTCTCTCATTCATGACCGGTCTCAATGTCCCACCCCCCTGCGCGCGGGCCTTCTAGGCCCGCGGGTAGTCTCACCCCATCCCCAGGGCCTCCAGGGCTCGCACCTCAACCTCTCACAGACCAGCGCAAAGTCCATCCGAAGCCTAGCTAGATGTTAAGTCTGTATTTTGTGTATTTGGACTTGGGCTGAAAACACAGTGTATTTTGTGTATTTGCTCCCACAAAGCCAGGATACACACTCGATGGGGACCACTAGATCCTACCAGCGCGCCGCAGGCGAAGGAAAATTTGCCGCATTTCGTGAGTTTTCATTGATTTTTCGCAGCTTTAACCAACATTTGACCTTGGGAGTCGGTCACTTGAAGACAGGTAGTTGAGCTTTTTGGTATTTCGGATTGGGACTTTACCATTTGTGCATGTGTGTGACTCCCTGGTCTGCCAACCACCGGGGGGGCACCGCCACCACTGACTGTGTATTTGGCTGTGTATTTGCTGTGTATTTGCTCACAGGCCAAAAACACATTCTATTTTGTGTATTTGCTACCCCCACCCTGTAAATAAATAAATAAATAAAACAGACATCCCAAGCTAGGGCTGGGTACCCCCACCCTGTGTATTTAACATCTAGGCTTCAGTATTTCTTCTCAATAGGAATCCTACCCGTAACAAGGCTGTGAACTTCGCGCGCTGCCCCTGTGCAGCCCGAGCTGCCGCAGACCCTCCCAACCACTAAGTCGTTCCGACCTTCCTTCCACGGCAATGTCCGCGCAGCGAGGCACCTCCACAGCGGAGCGCCTCGCCGCCCTCCTCGCCCTCCTCGCCCTCGCCGTCACCTTCTCCACCTTCAACGCAGCCTCCTTTGGAAGCCTCCACTTCGGAGCCGAGATGGCGCACGGCCCGACTCTGGGCGACTCGCGGCCGCGCGAGCTCGTCGCCGAGCGTTTCGTGCTGCAGCAGCTCGCGCGCGCCTTCGTGCAGGAGCCGTGGCTGCTGCCCGCGTCGAGCGCCACCCGCACCGCCCGGCCACCGCCCGAGGGCGGCTGGCCCTTTCCGGTCGCGGACGAGGCGGAGGCGGCGGCGGGGCGTGCGTGGCTCGAGGCACAGGGCGGCGGCAGCTGGGGCGGAGACAGCTTTGCGACGGGCGGTGGTGCGTGGGCGGGCGGCGGCGTGGACGGCGGTGGGGAGGGTGGCGGGGCGGACTTATGGGCGGGTGACGGCGGAGGTGCGTGGGTCGAGGATGGTGGCGTGGGTGGCGGGCCGGAGGGCGGCGAAGCTGCTGCTGCGGAGGAGGAGGCGGAGGAGGAGGAGGAGGAGGAGGAGGAGGAGGAGGAGGAGGAGGGGCGGGGGGAGCTCGTGGCTGGTGTGGGCGTGCAGGTCGCTGTCGAGTACGTGGGGAGCAGGCCGCCACTGGAGGCGGGAGGCGGCGGAGGGCGCTACCTGACCCTGTGCGAGACGGACTGGGTCTGTGCGGCCGCGTGGGACGCCGCCGGACCCGACGCGCGCTTTGAACTGCTCCCCGCGCTGCCGCCGGATGGGACGCCGCCGCGCGCCGAGAACGGCTCACGCGCGGCGCCGCCTGCTGCGGGGGGAGGAGGGGGCGAGAGCGGGACCAACGGGACGGCTCTCGGCGGGACGGCTCTCGGCGGGGGCGGCTGGTTCGCGCTCCGCAGCGTGTCCAACGGCACGCCGCCCCAGGCGGCTCCTCGTCGAGAGGCGGTCCCTCACCCGGTCCCTCACCCGCCTCGTGCCCCTTGTGATAGGCAAGCTGCTCCAGGTGGCCCCCGCGTCCGACCCGGAGGCGTGGGTGGTGCGAGCGCGAGGCGAGCCCGCGGCGAGGAGCGGGCCGGCGCTGCTCGTGCTGCCGTCGGAGCTGTGGCGCACCGGCCCGCGCCGGTTGCGCAACCGCGGCAGCGGCGGCGCTCTCCTCAACTTTCGCGGCCTGAGCGATGGCATCTCGGTCCGCGCGCACGGCGACGAGGACTCGGCGGGAGGGTCCGAGGCGGCCTGCAGACGCGCCTCGCCGCGCACGCGATTCGAGCTGCGCCGGATCGCGTCGCCGCCGCCTCCTCCCCCGCCGCCGCGGACGGCTTCGACTTTGCCGCAGCCCGCCCCCGTCACCGCCGCGTCGGCCGTGCCGCTGCCGACGCCGCAACACGCGGCGCTCGATTCGCCGCCCCTCAACTCCTCTCTCGGGCCGTAACTCGGGCGGCGTGGTATGTGAGTGTTTCAGTGTGTCAGAGACGTACCGCGCTATATAAGGGGTAAGGTAAGGTAAATCGTTTCTCCCCACACACACGAGGTGGTGGGGCAAGGGGGGGCAACCCTCGCGTCTCCACGTCTAACGACAGGAGCCCCACGGCATTTAAAGTGCAAGGCCCGGTGCGCGTGGGTGAGCGGTGTGTGTGTGTGTGTGTGTGTGTGTGTGTGTGTGTGTGTGTGTGTGTGTGTGTGTGTGTGTGTGTGTGTGTGTGTGTGTGTGTGTGTGTGTGTGTGTGTGTGTGTGTGTGTGTGTGTGTGTGTGTGTGTGTGTGTGTGTGTGTGTGTGTGTGTGTGTGTGTGTCACGTCACTGCATCCTCTGCCGGTTCCTCCCGTCGCCTCTTCTTTGTTCGAATGGTTTTCAATCGCCATCCTTCACGCGAAGCCCTCCCATGTAGCTAGCGTTCTTTGCGAATGTCTATATACGTTTTTCTCTCTCTACTCCTGTACTCGCAGGTCGCACACTGCTCTCTGACGTGCTGCGAGACACCTGAGTATTACTCTAAATGTAAATCGCGCGTCTCGGCGCGTCCGCGGTGCCGGTGGTTCTCGCTCGACACTCGAGTCTCTCGTGTGAAAAAAACACGCGCTGCGCCGCGGCGCGACGGCAAATACGGCTTGAACTAAAAGTAAAGCAGATGTGAATAATCAATGGTGGAAAGAAAAAAAGTACCGGCATTGCGCGTAGGATCATCTCCTCGCGAGATCATCTCACATACTTGTATGTATGTAGCGTCATAAGAGCGAGGGCGCTAGCCCGAGAGTCAGCCGGCGGCGTCCGCTTCCCTGCGCTCGAGGTGCCGCAGCAAACCGGCGGCGACCGCCTTCGTCGCGGCCGCCGCGCCTCCCTCTGCGGCTCGCAGGAAGAGGTGGGGCCAGCCGAGCTCGAGCTCGCTCACAAGCCAGCGAGGCTGCCCCGTCGCGCCTCCAGCTGCCTCTCCAGCTGCCTCTCCTCCCCCGCCGCCCGCTGTGTCGGGCAGGAGGTCGACACGCGCCAGGTAGATCTGCTCGCCTGGCCTCGCCGCGCAAGCCGCGCGCGCCTCGCCCATGGCCCGCAGCGCGGTCGCGAGCGCCTCTGCGGGCGGAGAGTCGACGCGAGACACGCGCTGTACACCGCGCGCGCTCCAGCCCGCCGGCTCCTTGCGCACTGCGTGCAGCAGAGAGCCGTTGACGAAGACGAAGCAGAGCTCGCCGTGCCGCCTCACGCCGCCCAGAAACGGCTGCAGCAGCAGGTCGCCCTCCCTGGCGCGCGAGAGCACGGCTGCCTCGCCGCCCTCCTCGCCGAGTGTGTACAGGTCGACGCCGTCGCCGCCGCTCCCAACGGCGGGCTTGAAGACGTAAGAGCGACGCCCCTCCTCGCCCGCGCTACGCCCGGCGTCCAGCCGCCGGACAGCCGAGCGCAGCTCCGCCCCGGCCGCGCCTTTGGCGAGGAGTGCGGTGGGCACCGTTCCGAGGCCACGCTCCGCCATCTCGAGCAGATACTTCTTGTGCGCGTGCCACGCCGTCGCACGCAGGTCTAGCCGCGGCCCCGCGCCGCCGTCGGCGAGCGAACGGAGCAGCTCGCAGAAGTTAGCCGTGTGAGCGGGCGTCTCGCTGTACGTCCACGCCAGCAGCGGCAACACGGCTCGCGCGCGGTGGAGCAGCGCCGAGGCCGGGCCCGACTGCCAATCGACGCGCTCCACAAAGAGCCCAAGCGAGCGCCACGCCTCGGTGAGGGCGGCGACCTCCTCCTCGGCGGCCGGGATGCTGTCGACAGGGTCGCCGTCAGCGAGAATGAGGACGCGTCGAGCCTGCCAACGCCGAGCGCGGTCCACTAGGCCAGCGCAGCCAGCGCCACGCTTTCCGCCGGGCATCTGTCACTGACTCTTGCTGCGGAGACGGGCGGCGGCCGCTTTTCTTTTTCCTCTAAATAAATAAATAAATAAAAACGGTCAAACTCTGAGACGAGATGGGATTTAGGGACATGTGTCCCCGCCCTGCACGATCTTGGTGTGAGGGATCTTCAATCCGTCCCCTCACCCCCTGGTCACTACCCGACACTAGAAGAGCAGCAAGAGTTGGGGCTGCGGCTACGGCTGCGGCTGCGGGAGGGGCTATGGTCGCGGGAGAGCCGCTGCGCCGCGTGGGCGCGCCTACACCGCGCTTGCTCCGCTCGCCACCTCTCGCAAAGGTCCAAAGTCATAGCCATCACCTCCTCCGGCAAGTCCTTTTCGCCTATCTTGCCGTCCCTCCATGCCTGGTAGAGCTCGTCGTCATAGCCGCCATATTGCATCACAGCCTGCTGCACTGCGTCGTGCACAACCCCTGCCACCCTATCCCGCGCCTCAGCGTCCAACTTCTTTTTCCTCTGGAGCCGAGAGGGAAATCTTTTTCCTTTTCGTGCAAGGCTCACTACCACCAGCGACCAGACACACATTCGTCAGGGGCGGGGAACCCGCAATTTGAGATGCTGAGGGCATTTTGAGTTGCAAAAAATCAATTTAGATTGCATTTTTCAATTCAGAATGCCGAGTTGACTTTTCGCATTTCAAGATGCACACCGCATTCCAAAGATGGTCCACGCATTCCAGGATGCGTCGACCATCCTGGAATGCGAACTGCATTCGTGAATGCGCTAGCATCTGGAGTTACCCCTTTGCATTCTAGGATGCTCCTTGCTATTTCAAGTTGCCTTCCTTAACCTGAGATGCCCAGCATTTTGGCCAATGCCGCATGTCGGCGGGGCATCGGGTAGGCTGCGGCTCGGCCTGCGCCTCGGCAGTCGTTGCCGCTGCGCAGCTGGATATGGTGGCGCACGTGGCGTGGCCTGTCGTTTGCATGTTTTGCGGTGGCAGCCCATAACCGCACGAATTGTGCATGGCCCTCAGCAATCCGTGTTCGATCGGCAACGCCCGTGCCGCTGCTCTGTGTCTCGTTAGAATAGGCAATGAAAAACGGCGCCCGCTCTCGTCGCATGTGCGCCGGTTGACATATCATGTATGTGGCTCTTTTTATGGATAACAAGGAGTCTCGTTTTCGACTTTTTCTTCTTGTATATGAGCCCGCAGCCCGCGGCTTCCTCGCGCGTTTCGCGCTCCTTAACGGTCTCTCTCTCGCCAGCCCTCAACTGTTCAGTAGAATTTGCTGCAACTGGGCAGATTCATGTGGTATCATGCTGTCCTCATCAGGTGTCTGTGCCGCAGCGTAGGCGAGACTCTAATCTCTATGCCTCGGCACCCCATCGAGGCAGCTCGCGAGGTGAAGCTTGCCAGCAAGGGTATTGTTGCCTACACCAGCAGGCAAGGGAGCACTATGGTGTGAGCCTGCCAGCACTGGTGCGCAAGCCAGATCAGTACAGTCGTACCGGGCAGCAATGAAGCGCGTTGGGTGCCCGCGCCGGATGCAGTGCTAACGCGGCAAGCTTGGGCCGCATCAGCAGATGCGTGAGGCGGTGCGGAAACCGTTGTTTCAAGGCCACCTGGTAGGCTCACTCCTTCCCATCCCAGAGGTAGAGGGCAAGGAAGGTAGTCGATACCCTCGCCACAGATGGACATTTTCATTCAGAGAGAGAGATTTTTAGCAATACCAAACAACTCTAACACTCACACGTAATTTGGGGCCTGGAGCCCTGTTCACGCGCGCGCGAGACGTGCAGACAGGGTTGCCAGGTGAGAGCGAATGGCGCGGTTCACGCCTCGCACGACAGAGAGAGAAATGCGTTGTGTTCATTCAGTGTTATGTGCTACTTTCAGATACGTAGGAGGACTCTGCTGACGGGGTATTTTAAAGCCCAAGAAAGAAAGAAGCAGGATTGTAACGCCCTCCCACGCACATTGTTTTCCGCACTTTCCGCATATTCCGCAACGCGGAATAGTAAACGGCAATTTGGGCAATTGTCGGACTCTCTCCTGTAGCGTCAAAGCGCAGCTGCCTCGTGGCTCGTGGTGCATGGTGCATGGTGCATCCCAAGAAAGAAAGAAGACGGCCTGTCACGCCCTCCGCCCACGCGCATGTATATTCCGCACTTTCCGCATATTCCGCATTGCGGGCAACTTGGGCAACTTGGGCAACTTCGTCGGAGTCTCCCGTAGCGTAGCGTCAAAGCTGCCTCGAGGCGCATGGTGCGTCCTGCCCGCTCCCCCGCAGCTACGCTGCTGGTGATTGATGTCGCACGCGCATGCCCACCCTCACGGCACCCACGCCATACCCGCGCGCTGACAACACATACCTGACATGCGCACTGCACCGACATCCAGCCAGGCTCCCGCGTCGACGTTGACGCTAACGAAGAGAGGCGCGTTGAGCCGGCGCAAGGAGCACGTCTCACTCACACCACCACTGACGGCCTCCCACTTCTCGGCCGCAGCTTTTCACAACGTGGTACCTTCGGCTCCTCGTCGCTAGCATCATCAGCGAGTACACCCTGCCTCTCGCCGTTTGCCCTGGCGAACGTGGCCGTGCTGATTGTCTACCGCCGCGTGGCTGTGCGAGATCTAGACGTGCACACCCCGCACGCCACTCGGCTGTGCTTGCGCAGCAGACGGCGTGGGCGGCTGCGCAGGCCCCTGGCCGCGGAGGAGGAGGCTGGCCCGTCGGGCGGTGTGCTGGCGGTTGGAAGTAAGAGGGAGAGGGAGAGGGAGAGGGAGAGGGAGAGGGAGAGAGAGAGAGAGAGAGAGAGAGAGAGAGAGAGAGTAGGAATAGATGATTTTA